GAAGCTTGAAATCTGGCATTTTAAACATTGATGTTATTGATAACCTGAAACAAGCTACAGGACAAACTTACTCTTTTTTTGTTGTATAAGTAGTAACTGTTTCCTAATACATCATTGAGCAGCAAATGGTGAATGACTGCATTCCCTAAATCCTTCTCTGTTAAAATAATCAACATAAAATCTGTGTTGTTGCTGAAGAAGGAAAGATGGCACACAGCAGCCTAAAAAGAATTCGGAAAACTGGAGCTTTTACATATTTCCTTCCCTGTGTTTGCCTTGGAAATTTGTGTGCAAAAGAAATGAATAACCAAGCAATAAGTAGCAATAAGCTGAATATTTGTAAGGAATTTAATTTAAAAAGACATTTCTTGTTTCATAGCTGCACTACTTTTGGTTACACCTTAGGACACTGCACAAAGAAACATTTCCCTGTAATCCCTAGAGGAAACTGTTCAAAAGCTTTTCCAGCACTTCTATTTGCTCTGGTTTCCTGCTGTTATTTGTATAATAATCTATTCATCTGATGATTTTAGACCTGGAAAGTAAAGGTCTTGTGACCATCTTGTGAAATGGATATAAGTGCTTCAGGGCAGTAGGAGTCTGGGAATCCTGAACTTCATTACATCTTTTTAACGCCTCTTTTTCCTTTGAGTGGCAATGTCTCCTGCCACAGAGAACAATGCAAGTATGAAACCAGTTTTTATTAATTACTGGACTGACTCCAAGACACTATGCCTCTTTTTTTTTTAATATTAGTTTGATTTCTTTCAAATAGACCATGAAAGGTATTTTGTGGAGGCTGATTAAAAAAAACAAAACAAAACAAAACAAAACAATAACACAAAAACCAGAAGTATTTTAACATTCCAAGCAGTTTACATTGTCCATGTGAAAACTCAAATTCTGGACCAGAGTTTTCAACCACTCAATGGATTTTGACTGTTCCATTTCTGAGTCATGCACAGGAGAGCTCTTCTTTCAGAGCATCAGCAGTCAATGTTTTCTGAAGCTCTTGACCCTTTAAAGTTCCCAGGTTGGGCACCAAAAATCACTAGTCGTCTTTAAAAGATCTTGTGATTACTGCTAAATCTGAGATGAAATTCTGTGGTCCTAATGCACTGAAAAAAGCAAAATCTTGAAAATAGAGGAAAGGAACAGTTAACCTCTTTGGGGTCTGACATCCTTCCCATTACAGCAACCCAATGAAATTCTTGTCAGCAATGTTTACCCTATTCTCCAATTCTACAACTTACCCTGCTGACTCTGGTCAATATGATGTTTTTGATTCTGGTTTGGTTTTTTTTTTACTTCTTTTCTTTTAAAAATGCAGAGCAGCTTGTTTTATATTTAGTTAAATAGCTGTCATCTCTCACCGTCAATAGCTATCTATTTTATTTTTGACTGAAGTGATTCCAGGAGCCAGCTTAATATATACTGACTTGTTTATAAAGCACACTTGAATAAAAAAATGATAACTACTAAATGTCAGGTGGTACCAACAGTAGTAATTAAAATTTAATAATGATAGAGGAATTCCAATATATCCCTATGCTACATCTTAAATTGAGATGCGAAATATTTCATCTAAAAGCTGGAGCCCAAACTATGTGTCTGTGGCATGCTGCCACCAAAAGTGAGGGTGTAGTGCTTCACCAATAAAATATGACTATTGTCTTCTCCGTAGTTTAGTCTTTTGACAAGATGACATGAATGCTTGGCAGTCTTTCATGTCAAGAAAGCCAAGAGAATGATTTTATTTTTTCTTCCTCCTTTATTGAAGAGAAATTCACTTTAGCTTTCTTCTGGGAAAGGCAAGGTCAATGGAAAGCAGGTTATTTTTAGGGGTCATATACTACCGAGCCAAGACTCCCCGGTGCTAGACAATAATCAGCTACTGGGTCGTATTGTTTTGGTTTTTGTGTTTTGCAGCTGTGTGCACTTGACTATATTTTGCCAGCTGAGACTTTTTTTTAAAGGGGTGAGTAAGGGATCTCTAAACACAAACTCCCCAAGCTAAATAAATAACAAACCCTACCAACCTCCCTAAAATTCCCATAGGCTCACTGAACTCATGATTTACTGCAGCAGCTCTGTAAGTCTTTAAGTGCACTCAGAATTGCTGTGAAGTCAGAAAAAGAAGTGTCTGTCATTTCTCTCCATTCTGATCTTGTCTCTTGTTTGCCTGTATTCTGCTATGATTTTGCTTAAGTGGAGTTTAAGAACTTTTTCAACTGTTGTCAGCCACACACACCATGCAGTACTAGCTTGGGATGACCATGATGTGTGGCCAGTGACCTGATATCCTGTGTGTTTATCTCCCTATTCCACCTATTCTGCATATTGTTGCCCGTAATCCTGCATATTCTACTAGTGGGGAAGTCTCACTGAGCAGTGGCTTTTTGCACATTTTTCAGGCATAAGGATCTTTTTTACAATTTCTAAAAAAACCTCCCCTTTTCTTGGGTTTGAATCCAACCCGAGGACTTGTGCAAAACTGCAAACTCCCTTCTCTCTGCTATGGTTTTGTCTCAGCATGGAGGTTGCTGGTGTGCCTAGGTGCAGATATCCAGGTTTTCTCTGCAAAGTGGGATGTCTCAGCTGGAAGGAGGCATGTCCCAGACCAGCTGCATGGTGTCTGGGCTGTAGAGCTGGCTCACTTGCTGTGTGCCACAGCAGAACATGTGTCTGCTTCTACTTAGCCATGCAGTTGTGTGCCTACTTTTACTTCAGGTTAGCTCAAGTTGAGAACATAGGCATTTCGGCATGGAGGAAGAGGCCACCCATGACTGGCTCCAGCCCTTCTCTGCTTTCCCAGGCAATCTGTACCTCTGCATTCATGAACCTTTCCCCACAGCATCCCAGGCTTCTTTGCCTTGGGACTGGGGTAAGGAATTGCAATCTCTTGTTATCAGTCAGTTGGAGATTTGATTTGTGGAGGTAGTTCTGGTTAGCGAGGATTTTAGTACAGTACTGTCATGATCTGTGGGGAATGCCACCACAAGCCATGAGCTCACACCTGACCTGACCTGGCCTGGCCTGCAGACGTGCTACAATGCATCCTGGAGTTGGTCAGGTCTCCTCCTCACCCACTCCAAGGTTGTCAGCCAGGGCATGTCTCAGCTCCCATCTTATCTGGGTTTCCTCACTGTGGGACTCACTGAATTGTGGCCGCATCTTTCACCCAACCCCGTAGTCCCTGAGTATGGAACATTAACAATTATACAAGGAGCTTATAGGTGTCTCTCAGAATTTTGGAAGATCCTTTCCTTCATCCTGCCAAAATAGGACCTTTTGTTATTCTAATCTCTTGGATACTTTTTATTTTGAGGTCATTATCGTTAAATTTATGTGATGAGTAAACAGAATCATAAACAGGTCTGAGTTTATCATGCTTTGAAATATTAATGGACCTAAAAATAACTAGGCTGTGGTGTTTAAGGCATGGTAAAAATAAAAATAAGATGTTTAACAATCATTATTAATTCACATTACCTAAAATTTGAGAAGAAAAGATTGAGTAAAGAAGAAGAGAGAGACTGGTTCATTCCATAATATGTTCATCTTATAAGTACCTTAGATATATTGGTGGGGGCAATGATTGACCCATATTTTAATACAAACTTTTTGTAAACTTTTCTGTATAAAGAGGTGTTATCAGAATCACCCTGCAATTCTCTGCTTTCGCCTTTTCTCTCTGAAGTTTCATTTTGCTTTATTTCTCTCTAGGATGATGGCCTTCCAGAGAATGAACATCAGCTCTCAGTAGCTGGGAAGATAAAGAAGCATTTCAACACAGGCCCTAAGCCGAACAGCACAGCAGCTGGAGTTTCTGTCATAGCAGTAAGCATCTGAATTACACAGCTGAAACACATCTATGTGCCCATCAGACAGTATGTGTTTAGGACATTCCACCGAAGAAAAACAGAGAGGATTAATCTTTAGATAATTCTAGCATTTAATTAATATAAGCATAGGCTGGTATTCTGCACAACTTTTCCCTTGATTCTGCTTGTGAGTCACATTGTTATTGAACAGCCCTAGGAGATATAACTGTACACACAGTTCCACATTTTACCAGAAGATCAGTGGACTTAACTCCAATGTAGACTTGGCAGTTTGAACTATGGGATCATGACATTTTAATTGGCAGCATACTCATCATATGGCTTGAGGCCACACAGAGGTTTGTAGCAGAAGGGCAGCCCCACTTTAAAATGGAAATTATTTCAAAATTTTAACTGAAAATCTATATGGCGGCCTAAACTTCTCCTCTTTGAAGACATAAAAGGGAGCTATGATGCCTCACTGCTGCCTTCATGTTTCATGAGTCTAGCCACTTCAGATTTAGCTGAGCAGCAGCATTTTATTGTAGTGCCACACAGAAGCTGCTTCCCTTTAAGCAGAAGTACTTAATTGGGTAAAGACTTAATGGAGCTCCTTGCTCCCTTCTCTCATCTTGCAATTCCAGTCGAGCCATTCTAGGTTAGAACGTGTCGGGAGCTTCTGAAACTAAGCTTGACCAAACTTTTGACGAAGCTTTACTGATGTTTCAATGGCATCCTCAGTGTAGCGTACATACCATAAAACTCTATTTTTTTCTCACAGATGAACATGTGTATTAGATATACATGGGCACAATATATATTTAGCATATGATGAGATTACTCATACTAATGCCATTGAATAATAACATGCACATCCTTCACATTTTTGATGCATCTGCCTGTGTCTGTAAGCTTTCCTTTATTAATCATAGTACTGTGAACACTCCAAATAGTCACTAAAAATAAGTGACATGTTAAACGTAACCATTCCCATATCAGATTACTCAGTGTTCATTCCCAGCTTCCATAAATTGCAGGTGGTGTGACTGCACATGTACACTTTCTTGTACTGTTTCCACTTTCATGTTTCTCAGCTCAGCCCCTCCAGTGTTGAGTTTAATCAGCATGAAGTAAACTCAGCTCAGCACATGCAATCTGGCTCACAGGTGTGAAGTGCTTGTGCAGCAAAATGGATACTCTCTCAAAGTTACTTGGTATAAGTGCTTAAAATTTCAAGCTGTGCCTCTCATATTTTTTCTTTACTCTTTCCTACCCTGAACGTCCTCAACATGGAAGCAAGTTGTTCCTCATGCTTTTCCTAGATTTTCTCAGCCATCAGCTAACATAGTCAGCATTTATTTATTTTCATTTTTAAGCAATAATACTGCAACAGCTCTCCCACAACTAAAACATCACATACCCATTGCTCATCTGAACTGCAGGTATGTTCTGTATAGACTAGCTGAAATTGTGTTCCTTTTAAATGGACTGCCAGCACGCTTGTCCATGAGAATTACTGCTCAGATCGTCCATGCTAATGACTTCAAAGCTTAAAAGCAAGAAATGATGCCTTTGTCTTCATCCATCCCTCGCCTCCTTTATATTTATAATTCCCCCGCCCTTCTCTTTTTTTTCTCTGCCCCAATTGCTTTGCCAAGGAATTGATTGCAGCAGTTTAAAACTTGAGTAATGAAAAAGGCACTGTAGTGAATCTTTCCACTGCAAAATATTATACATCAGGAAAAAAACTTGTATGTTTAACTATATTCTAAATATTTTTTAGTGTTTGGAAATTTAACAGAATATTTTTAGTGATCATCTCTGTGGGCAAACTTCATACTCCGGCATGATTAATCCTGTAACTTGGCCTATAAAGTAGAAATGTGTAGAATATTTTTACGTAATTCAGAAAGTGGCTTGATTAGCTTGTGTCAATTATTTTCTAAAAAATTGGAAGAGATGGGGAAATATAGACCTCTTTAATATTTTGGTAGTGTTCTAGAATGCTAGATAATTTTTATTTTACAAATAAATTAGTTTTGTTTCCTACAAAATAATTTAATGTGTAAAAGAAAGCCAAAAGCAAAACAGCAATGCCTTTAAATGGTGTTTCTGCATTCGAAAATCAATTTAATCTGTATTTGATATGCATTTCATCAGGGTTTTATGTTTGAGAATCTTCCTTTAGCTGTGCAATTTCAAATATCACAGAAGTAAATCCTATTAACAAAGACTGCTCTAGATTTAGAACTTTCAAAGTATGTACAGATGTTGTAACATTGTTACGCAGTAAAGACATGCACTAACTATATTTTCTATAAAAATAATGGGGTTTTGTGCCTGCCTGTATGTTTACTGTAACTTTTTGAGAGAGTGCTTGTGTATATAATATATAGAGAAGCCTTCTATACATTATATAACACATCTGTGTCTGTGTTTGTGAAAATGTGTTAGTATGTGCATATATTTCTGTAGCTTACTTAATAGTATGAAAGATAAATATTAGCATTACTTTGAATCTTATAATTCTGTTTATGTACAGAGATAGCTAATATGTGGTATTTAGTTCTTAATTTGTCCTCACATTGGTATGATATGGTATTATATGCCTGTTTTCTCCGATGGTAAGATATAACACACCTCAAAGATCTCAAGGAGTATTTATCATATGCACCAATTAAAACTATAATATGAAAATTAAGTTCCTAAAGATGTGTTCGTGGTCAGCTTGATTGGGAGGAAGTTTGAAGCCACATGTGTTTTACATACATCGACTGTGGCTACTGCTTCTTTCAGAAATGTTCAAATTCCATTGACTCCTTTGGTTCAGACTTATATCTGCCTTATTGATGCTGTAATCCTTAGTAAAAGTTGTCTCTGACATTTCAAAGCAGAGACATCCTACTTCTCACGCATGTGTCCAGACTTCAAGTTTGTCCACATTTGGAAGGATTTGTCAGTTTGGACAAACTACTATAATGAACATGTTGAGCATGCCTAGCAAAGTAGTCGCTTTGCTAATGTAGCAGTATGATTTCTGAAACAAAATTAACTCTACAGGCAAAGAGAGTTTTCTGTTGATATAATAATACATCATTAGAAGTTCTGTCAGCATAACTATGTCAGTTGGGAAAAAATTCCCTTGAACAAACATAGCTTTGCCAGAAAAATTTTAATTGGAGAAATAGTTTTTAAAACAGCAAGAGAATTAGCAAATCCCTAAAAAACACTGCTGATGAGAGAACATGTAGGAGAAATATCACTTTACTTGCTCTGTTCTTAAATTCTTGTCACAAGCATTTACTACCAGTCTCTGTGGGAGACAGAGGCTGGGCTAGTGCCCCTCAGTCTGTGTCAGAATGGCCACATTACTGTTAAGCATATGCCAAAATATTTGCAGGATCATGTTTCTCATACAGCTTTTCAATAGGAGCAGTATTTTGTAGTTCTGTGACAGTGTTTATAAAACATAATGCAGTTAAAAATGTAAAACCGGACTTCTACTAACTAGTCTTTTTGAAATTTGAGGGTAGATTTTTTTTTCCCTTCAATTCTCCAAGGATGGCAACCCCATTTTTTTTTTACTGTGGCCATGAAACAATACCCTATGGTTGTATCCTCTGGGTTTAGTGACAGTGCCTAGAGTGCTTAGGAGCCCAAATCACTTTTAAAGAATGATTCTGCAACACAGAGGTGTGCTGTAATTCCTTGTATGAACCAAGCATCGTTTAATATGTGTCCTTGTCTGAAGTGTTAAAGCTCTGCCTGTATGTCATCACTTTTGTGCTTGTACTTTTGCCAGTGTTAAGACAGAGGAAAAGACTAATGTTATTCTGCTGTTAAGGTTGGATGAGGTCTCTCTGTCTTGGTAATGCATCTCTGTCTGGAGAAGCAGAGAAATTGAGTAGAACAGCTAAGGAGAAAAGCTGCTCAGAAAGTTGGTGCAGCTCTCTGTTGCTTACAGGGTCCTGGGTTCAGGGCCCTGGCAACGGGAAGGCAGTGGGTGGGTCATTGCCCTGCATTCTACCAATTTTAAAAAAAAATTACAAATGCCAAGTGGTATTTTTAGCCATAGGATTTCTTGGCTGGTGTGGAAGAGAAGCCAAATTCAGCTTGTAAATTTTGCTCGCCTTAAAGACGAACCTGTGTCTCGACTATCCCTTCCCATCTATTATCTGTGTTGTCCTGGGATCATTGTCCACAGCCGGGTTTCTCATGGCAGAATTTCCACACTGCCAAAATTTTTCCAACTCGTGTTAGGAAGTGACTCTTGCAATTTTCTCTGTATTATTTTTTTAGCTATTCAATTTTAGGGCAATATTTTTAATCCACTTTTTAGAAAAACATCCCTTTTGTGTGTTTTATGTGCAGCATACAAGGAAGCCAGTAGATGGCAATAGCAGACCAGTGTAATTAAGCAAACACAAATTTAACTGTAGGTACAAGGTCTCCATGGTTTTAAACAGGAAGCGTCCTTTAAATAATTCTAAATAAGATGAAAGTGGCATTGTTTTAACAAAATGGAATAAATTATTAAATTATTGAAGGGGAGTCATCAAGAAAAATTCAAATTCGCGGTTAATTCCTAACTCCCCTTGAAGTGTGTTGAACTGGTTTTCTGATTTAGAATTAGAAACTGTCATCAGTATTGGAAATATATGCCATGCTCTTATTGAAGCACAAAAAGGCCTTTTCTCTTCCTAGGGCAAAATCTGAAAATCGTTGCAACTAACAGTTTTAAAGCAGACAGAGTGTCTCTGTAGATATTTTCCCATAAAATTTTATTTAATTCAGCTAAATGATGTCTCCACCGTCTGTTAGAGCAGCACCGAAGGGTTAGGGAAAAGAACACATTTTCTTTGTTCCTATGCACATGATTTTGCTAATGATAGACTAAACTTGAAAAATCTGTATTCCTTAAGTAATATCACTGGCATACTTTCCTGGACACAATGTTAAGTTCATTTCCATTTTGACTTTAATTGGTGCAATTTTAAACCAAATAGTTTTGTACTATTATCTTTTTGAGCATGAGGTGTAAGCTGAAATGATAAACAATGTTATTCATGGCTCTGAGTAGTCCTACTTTCCAAGGTTAACGCATTTTTAGAAATGAATTACCATGATTGATGGGGTATCAAAATGTGATTCTTTTCGTCTTTACACATTCCATGATTTTGAAGCAGTCTAATTTAAGCCTTGTGTAGTGTGTCTAGCCTGCTCCTTGTGATGGTTGCACTGCATTTAATTTTTCTTTTAATTATTAAACTTCTCAGTTTAATTGCAAAAGATAATATTCTGTTACTGGTATGTGCAACTTAAAAGGGCAATACTGTCTTTGGAGGTAAAAAGATATTTGTCAGACTTTTAAATGAATGCATTATGCATTAAGTAATCTATTTCACAAATTCCATTTTAGTTTGAATAAATTGGCTTCTAATTTAGCAAGACCAAATCTAGAGTTAGTATCTTTTTCTTTTATTTCTTTACCTTTTTTTTTTTTCTTCTGCGGTAGGTAGCTTTAGGATGTTAGATAAGAGCCTTCTGAAAGTGAAAACAGTAAATATGCACTAAATAAGGAACAGCTTGCTCTGGAGTCTGAATTCTCTAGCCTAATGTTGATCCACTGAGTTGCCCCATTTCTCTCTGCTCAGCTGGACCACGGGTTTACCATCAAGAGATCAGGGTCTTTGGACTACTACCAACAACCAGGAATGTATTGGATAAGGTATGAGATGGTGCAGCGCCAACAGTCAGTGTTTCCATGGCAACGTGCTGGCAGTCTCCATTAACCAGTTCCTTCAGTGGATAAACATGCTTTTTGATTTGTTATCGGGTCCATATGCTGCTTTATCGGTTTCGTTTTAATCTTGATTGAGATGCCACACCCCTTCATTCCCTTTCTTCACCCATTCCTCACACCCACATTGCCAGCTTTCTCTTCATCGCACATGCTCAATATTAATCTCCCCTATAGTTAAAAGGACAGTGTATATAGAAAATCTACCAGATATGCTGAAGTACTCACCCTCCCCCTCTCTATTGCTTGTTAAGGCATCTGCTTCCCCTATGCTCCTGTTTCAAAACACACGGAGTAGCAACAGGCTCTCAGCATATATTTTCCTCTTTTTTCCATGCAAGATATGGAGCTATATACTGTCATTTTAAACCGATTAAACACAATCCTTACCTTAGATTGAACAATGCATTTACATAACACGGGCTGTAGAAACTCTCCCAAGTTCACTGAAATACAATGCATTGTATGTGCTGGTAAGCTTGTGTTTCTAACAATGCATTCCTTCTCTTTTCTTTTTAAAACCCTTCTGATACCTATTTATTTTGATTTGATTTTGTTTTAAATATTGCATGAGTCTTTTGAATATATTTTTCTTCATTGTGTAACTGTGCCAGGGTTGTTGTTAACTGGCTTAACCTGTATGGTAAAATGGGTCTCTGGGAGGGAGAGGCTTATTCTGCAGCAGGGGCAAGGAGGGATCCAGGTCTGATAGCCCACAAGAGGCCCACACACCTCCTCAATAAATCCAGAGTCTTGGAATTTCCATCAAGTGGTTACTTGCTGTGTTTTTTCTTTCTTATTACTCACAAGACCTACATTTTGAAAGCTGGAGAAATTTTTATAAGTTTCTTGTGAAACCTGCGTTTTCTAACACTGCCTTTAAAAGCTTGTCTGTGAGAGATTTGTAAAAACTCAGCAAATTAACCACGTTAGCAAAACAGCAGAGATGGTCACTGCAAATGTTTCCAGTAAAGTATAACTCCCACTCTGGATCATGTCACCAAGTGCATGGATTGGGCTACAGCACGCTTTCCATAAAACCTAACGATTCCCTGCGCGCACACTAAGGGCTACGTAGTTTAAATATGGATGTTCTGGGGAAAGAAAAAAAAAACAAACCCAAAACCAAAACTAAGCCTATTTCTCAGGCAAAAAGTAAAAAAATAGTTCCAATCCATCAGTTGAACGCTGGCTAGCAAAAATTGAGAAAGACTTTCAGTCCAGGTGCTGGAGTGTGCAGCAGTACCTGTAATTCATCGAATTCCAGCCTACTGCACTTGTGGTAGTGGCTATAAACCTACCATGACCTGTGAGGGCACAGCAAAACCTGCTTGATCTGTCTTGTCACTTGGCATCATGCTTCACGGGTTGCAGCCCTGACGGCCGCCCAGCATCTGTGCCCCTTGGTTTGAAGAAGAGGTGAATGGGGCCTGAGTGCCCAGTTTTAGCTCTGTGTGCTTCATAGCATTAGAGGAATTTTTCTTTTCTGCTTGAGAAGGAAAGATGGCGTTTTGTATCAAGCAGAACTTTGACAAAGAGTTGCAAATTCAATGCCTCCTCTGTAAAATGGGGGGAAGCTCGCACAAGCTCTATTTATCTTCCTATTTGCTATACACAATGTTTGGATCTTTTAAAACTCCACCTTCAGGGGGAGCAGACCACCAGAAAAGGAGGCTGTGCGAAGCGAGCATCTCCTCAGATTGGCCTTGACTCAGTTTAACTGCTTAGCCCAGGTTTTGAAAAAAACCATATGCATTTTGAGGATGTAGGGGGGAAGGGTCTAATTCTGCAACTTGGTAAATAAATAAAGCTATAAAAAAAAAAGGGCCATTTGACTAAAGCATTGTAATGGCCATCAGCATACAAAATGACACATCCCTGAATAATGGGCTGGAGCAGATGGGCGATAATCTCTCTTATTCATACACAAACTGCTCTGTTTTCCAGCTGGGGGCAGTAACAACAATGTTTATAATTAAGGCTTTCTAAACTGAGCACCTAGTGTGGAAAGGCAAACTGAGAGAGCAGGGCTTATAGGGGTAGATGTTTAATTAGGAAATCCGCTAGGAGAGGATACCTCTGACCAAGCAAGTGCTTTGATGACCAACACTTTAGTCTAAATAAAACCGTTTGGGTGTAGAAAGTGTTTACTTTTTAGTAGCGCAGATGCAAAGCATATGAAAAGGTTCATCAATTCCCATCTATAAAACAGATAATTCAGCGCAGGCCTATGAAAATTAACCTGAATTCACAAGTAGAGCAAAAAAAGGAAAGCAGGTCCCAAGGAAAATGTAATGCTCCCTTTGTTAGTGTTAAACTACACGTTTCTTCTGCACTCCTCTTTATTTTCATCCCTAGTTTCTGGCAGTTTTCTAGAATACTTTTTAAATGGCTCTATTTCCTCCTTCAATAATCAGAAAACCTTCTTCCTCTGCCTAGAAGACTTTCCTTCTCAAATTCCTTCAAAATACTATTTTTCTGATCATTCATTCTGCATACTTTTGTTCCCTTTAAGTAGGATAATATGTACGGAAGTGACATGATTTTTTTGAGGTACCGAAATAGAACAAACCTTATGTACAGTAGTAGTTATTGTAGCAGGTATGAGCTATAGTGCCCGGAAAATTTTACATGGTTCCTTGAATATGAGGATCAGGAAAAAATACAGGAGATAAACCAGTAAAATCATTTGGACTCCAGAGTAATACATGTTTTAAAAGCAACCCACCTAATGATGTTGGGACATCAGCCCTGCAATTAGAGGTGCAGAAAAGGCCAAAGCAGCATCAGTAGGGGACAAGACCTGGAGGTCCCAGTTAAAACCCTGAAGTTTGAGCTGATTCAGAATATCAAGGGAATACCAGAATGATAGTATCTAACATAAAATATTAGTAGAAAATATTAGTATATGTAGCATTATATATAAGATCAGAAAAAAATGTTAGGGTATGTTATTTTCTATATATCCCCAGACATTGTAGAAAAGCTAAATGGGCAAAATACAACCCAGGAAACGTATGGGAAAGTCATTAATGATCTATCTATGTAATGATAATAGAAAGGAGATGAATTGCATTGGATGCTTAACAAAATCATCAATCTGGTCAATATTGAATTCATAAAATACTGGATTTTTAAAATACAGTTCTCACTTTCACAGTTAAAAATGTATCTGAATAGCTCATTTTCAAACCCAGAGTTCCATCCTCTGTCTTTAGTTCCTAATTCACATTACATTGCATCTGTCGAGTTACTTACACCTGTCCCAGGTGGATACAATACACTTTCAAGTCAAAAGTTACAGCCAGATGTCTCGATGATGGGACAAGGAAGTTGGGAATTAGGCTTGCTATCTGTAAAGTGCCATTTTTAGTACCAAAAAACCCTCTGTAAACTGATTATTGGTAAATACAAGCAAATATCTAAAATCATTTAAAATCTCTTCTCCTGCTCTTTGACTAAAAAAGCCACAACTGATTTACAAACTATAAACAAAATCCACTCATGCAAACAACTTGGCACTGAGTCTCTTTTACGTGTAATTGAAACCAGCTGAGGAATTGTGTCTCTAAAAATGGGGGATGTCAAAGAGTAAACACAAACTTAAATATAGCAGTATGGATTCAGCAGTTATGTCCATAGAATACTTGTCTTTGTGTTCACCCACCAATACAGTACTAATCATATATCAAATTGATTTGGTTTTCTTTCTTTTTTACTTTCATTTTAGCTAAATATCATGTCAGAAGTTACATGGTGTGCTAAAGCACTGGCCTTTTGTATTTGGAGGTCTAGGTTCAAATCCACTCGATTAATTTATCCCCTCGATGTGGTCATTTGCACGTCTCCAAATCACCGTGTAACTTGACTTAGCTATACCTTGTGCCTGAGGGACTAAAAATAACATGAGTGTCTCACTCCTGGACTGAGGTGCATTGCTAAGTTTGAAGTACTCTCAAAAAAGTGTCTTGATTCATGAATCAATCACACAAATATATATATATATATTATTTATACATATATATATATATAGCCTGAGAAACCCATGGAAAAGAAATTAAAAAAAGATGAGACTGAAGGGCTGCCTGGTTTGTTGCATGAGCAATGTTTAATGATCATTTTTACAGCAAGGAAACCTGACATTACATATCTCAATGTATAGTGGTCACTAGTCAGAAGTTTAAGGAAATAGGATAAACTTACCTAGGTGTGAACATTTAAATTTGTGCATACACATACATGTATATAAAAGAACGTACTGGAAGAAAAATACTAGTGTTTCATTATATATGTTCATGTAATTCTAGCACTAAACAAAGCATCACAAAAATTGCTAACAAATTGCAAATATGCTCCTGCAGAATAAAAGCAAGCGAAGGGAAGGGTTTCTTAGATTAATACATGAACAGCTGCATCCCCAGTTTAGTCTCCTGCCTGGTATGAATAATGGATGGACTAAGAGGCAAAATGCACAATAATGTTCTTTTATTAATGAAACTAATATATATCTATATTTGGTGGCCAGCAGTAAATTAAGACAAGTGAAAAGAATAACAGTCACTGCTCACTTTCAAAAAATGCAGTTACTCTAATTCAGTAATTACTGACCTGACAGAAAATATCAGCCCACAACTGAAATAAGGCTCTTCCCGCTGCAAATCCAACACATATATCAAAGCAGCTGCAGTTTTTTAATATCTGTTCATAAGCACACAGTTCAGTGTTTTCCAAAATAAAAAAATGAATTTACATGGATCAGGATTTCTGTAACATCGAGTGATAGAAATCAGGATGAAGACACTCCTTAAAGAAAAATCCTGGAAAAATGCTAGTTGCACCTTAGTATATAGGTGACAGAAACAACTATTTTAAAATCATGCTCTGTTACTTCAAATGAAATGTATTTCCAAAAATGGCTTGTTAACCATTTGGTAGTGGGTGTCAGGATTACTAAATATTGATGCAAAATACATTAGTGCTTGATGAAATACTTCAGACCCAGCAGCACCAAACTATTAGAAGCAATCCACTTGTCTGCTGCTAAGAAGCTCTACCTTTCCTCATATGGATTGCAGAACAGCTTCATATCTTGAATAAGAATGCTATCCTTACATTTTAGTTGCCATTACAATCATACAGTGCTCAAAGTTCTCACTCTGTAACCTCAAGCCAGGAAAAATAAAACGTCAAAATGTGACAATGAAAATCTGGGTTTTGCAGACCTGTGAAGCATAAGTGCACTTCAGATCCTCTTATTATTTATTGAAAGAGCTTGAAGTAGAAATGCCCTGGAAATCCATAGTGGACTGGTTCATGCACCAGCAAACCACCAGATGAACAGAAGGTGAAAGAATACATCTGTTAAACCAAAGCAATGTGTATAAGAGGCCTTTGTTACAAAAACATCGATGGTAATGAAAAAGCTGATTTTTGGAATATGCCCACATGCACAAGAGAGTACAGTAGATGAAAATTGCACTTAGAAAGCACTTACAGTCATTGAGGTCGATTCCCGTATGGGCCATTCACTTAAGAGAGTTGGACTTGTGAGTCCCTTCCAACTCAGAATATTCTGTGAAATCTATGAAATCTGGGAAATGCTCAAATTTATCTCTCTTACCATCTTCTCTGCATTCCAAAGGCTTGATCTATTGTATTTTGCAATTCTTTGGAAGTAAAACATAACTGTAACATCATTAAATGAAAAATTTCATTTGTGCAGAATGCAGAGAGGCAATACCATCCAGTGGTGTTATAGACACAAGAAGTGTCAAACTTCATTTTAACACTGGGCAAAATAAGCCTGTTCCTGCAAGTTCTCTAGGGCCCAAGCACTCTGTCTGTGGCCAGAAGTGCCCCATTTGGTAGTTCTGACATGTTAAACATTAAACATCAGAGTATGACTTGTGAGGTTTTGCTTTCACTAGATAAATACTGACTTTGCCTCTCTGTGACTTTATACATTTTTATTCGATAAGCTGTTTGGGTGAGAAAGGCTCTGCATGTCTCTCAGCCCAGGAGAGTAACCACAATAATGCCCCTGGGTCTGCAAGCATGTCTTTACAAAGACCAATTAGATCAAATCCAGGGAAAACTTAAGTTAAAAATGAAAAGAAAAACACAGTCAAAAAATATCTCAGAAAGTTTCTGAAGGGTTAGGAAGCCAGAAATATTTGATCCTACAAACTACAGCAGCATAAGGTGGTAGATTAGGTGAGACCATCAGGATTATTTTGCTTAACATTTTTTATTATTAAGCAAGGGAGTGCCTTTATGTATATTTAAATGAACAGATTTAAAGCAAAGTCTCTAAAGCTTTCCCAACAATAGTAGAAAGCTAATATCTTGGGGTTTATTTTTAAAGAAATCTTTAAAAAGATGTCCTGTTGTTTAGTCATTTTTGTCCTTTATAAAAAGCAATATCGTAGGCTAAATTTCAAAAAAAATTTCTTATACATTTTCTTCTGTGTAACTTACTTAATTTTAAATACCTTCAGATTTTACATATATGTTTGCCATTTTCATATAGCAGATTTTAAAAATAAAATTGGAATTTAATACAAGTATTTTTATTTATTCAACCAGAAATGTTTACATTTCTCAGAGGAGAGTATCTATTACCACAGGGTGATGTGATGTGGCTTAAACTTTAAGTAAGTGCTTATTTCCTATAAGCATTAAAAAAAAAATATTTAAAATGGAAATCTGTATTTTATAGAGTGGTAATGTATGCCATTCTTTTCAATTTTCACACAGAATTGCATACTGTATGCAGTATATTCACTGTGTGTAAATGATCTAGGTATTCTTCTGTTTCACATTAAAAATAATCAAAAGCTGAATTGGTTCAAGGCTAAGAAATGTAGAAGGCATTGAAAATACTAATTAGAGCTCTTACCTAAAAGATAAGCAGTAAACAAAGAAATTTTTGGCGGATGAAAAATATTGGATTTTGTAGCAATTATTATTTAAAATATGGAGATGAACTTAACAAAGTTTATTATTTTACTGTTTTAAAGTAGTGCTATAAAGATTCTAGACACAAAAATAGTAGTTCATCAATTTAACCTAACTAAATCCATTTGCTATAGTAGTTCTGTACTCCTGCCCATCCTTCTGTCTCTGTTACATCATTATTGAATGCTGGTTGCATTATTTGAAAGTGTGGATTGCTATAATGCTATTCTGCACCATTATGATGGATTTAGTTTTCATTTTATTTTCAAAAATATGTTGGCTATAAATACATCTCTGCTCTCCTGTGGGGCTCACACTGTAACTTGGTAAATTTTCTAGAGAAATCGATCATGCATACCTCAAGAGAACACAATAAATCCTTTGAAGTAGAATAACCTTTTGGCTGCAATCTTTTAAAGAGGTTTTTATTATAGGGACAAATTTTACAAGCCTTATCAGTGAAACCTATTCAGTTCTCGAAGTTATCTTTGCCTCCAGTGCCATGATTTGATACTTGGTTGCATTTTGTATGTCATCTTACTAGACACCTGCCTTTTCCCATTTTGCTTTTTCCAAAACAGTCACAGGTCATGATTTAAGAAGGTAGCCCTGCTTCAGAAGGCAGCTAACCATGTGTCAAAGTGCTCTTGCTGAATCAAGTCCATCCTGTTGAACTTACAATTTTACAGTGATTTCAGGGACTACAGTCTAATATCCCATAATCAAGAAAACAGCAAAACTCAGTCCCATGCTTGAAATTGTTAGTTAGACTAAGGCTGCCCTTACTTGGGTTGCAGATTCACCTTGTAAATTGTGCCAGAAAAGCAGAAGAAAGAATGTGGCTAGAAGTTATAGCCATCTTATTAAGACTTGGGTTCTTAATAGTGGCAGAATCATCAAAAAGTAAAGCCATCAAGTAAACATTCTTTTTTCCTATTCCTAGATAACTTATATAGACATAGATAAAATTAGCAGAATATTTAATTCGGTAGACCTTGGTTAACAGGAAGAGACAGCATGGTCAGGCTAAACGGGTCTTTCCGTCACAGCTTTTCAGCGTTCTCCCTAAGAACATCCATTGAGCAGCATGATGTGTCAGGGAGCTGGGCTAGCTCCCTTTGGTGTTTGTTTTTCTCTCTTGTCTGACAACTTCATCACAATCCATCTTTGTTAGATGATTGCACTGACTTGAGCACGGATGAGTGTGTATTGGCCTTCATTAGGTCAAATCAAAGACAAACGTACATCTCTGCCCTGCCTGTAGAAACAGATTTATACTTTGACAAGGGTGGGGGAAGGTCAGTTGATATTTGGCTTGAAATTCGAATCTGTTAAAGGATGAAATTAATAGCATCCAGAAGTAGAACATATGGCATTCATATATATGGCACTGTATCTGCTTGATGATGTCACACTACCTCTTAAGGTTTGGGAAATGCACTTTTTAAAGCATTTAGCTGTGTTGTGGGCTCAACCTTTCAGACCTGACTGAGACAGAAGAGGTTTAATTTGGTCTGAACATTTATTATCCCTGGTATTTGCAGGCCACATAAAACCTCATGGTTTTCATTACCTTTGCGTTTCACACACAGCCTAATTTCATTTATTCTTATTTTATGCCCCTGCCAGACCACCGCTCTTGATAAGGAGAGGCAGGTTTTCCGACGAAGACGCAACCAGGATGTGAGGGGACGTTATAAGGCACAACAAGCTCCACCTGAACTCAACTCCGAATCGGAAGATTATTCACCAAGTTCATCCGAGACTGTTCGCTCACCTAACTCACCCTTTTAATAAAACACTTTTACTCAAAAGTCTTGGCTTTAACCCTTTGAGACCCTGAAACTTCTTCAGACCTGAGTGGAATGATTACAGCTGATCTATCCAGCAGTATACGCTGGGATGGCGGAATGCAAAAGGGTGCTCACAGAATCTTTGTAAGAATAATTTCCTAATTGATTGAAATACTTGTTCTCTGTTTAGATTGCAACTTGCTGCTAATATGATCTTCAAAGGGTTAAGGCTATTTTGCTTTTTTATTTAAAGATAGAAGCAGTGAATGTTTTCATCAGTGGAGCTAGGAACTGCAGTATGTAATTTTAGCACATGTTAACCCTCTGAGTAAACGATCAACTTAAATCTTGACAACCCACATTAGGGTTTTATTCTGGCTTTTTTGCTTTTATACGCACATATCTTTTATAGTATCCTGAAGTTCCTTGCCTGTTTCTGGCCAAAAATATATCAAATGTACTATTGCTTAGGAGTTACAGATATAGGCGTAAAAATGGAAATAAAATTAAACAAATGGTATCTTCTACAGCAGCTCATTGTACTTCCACAGTGACTGTTATTGGAAGACATTATGCAGGCTAAATGGGAAATTCAGTTTAGGGCATCCTCATGGTTTACAGAAGATGACATGATGCTGGCCACAAAAGGTTGCTTCCATATAGTTTTCTCCTAATGACAATGTTGAGTCTTGGAAAGTGGCTTGAGGACACGTTCTGTCATGTAATAGTATGTAATGATCTAGTTGAGAAGTTCCTGTTTCCTTTGCGCCACATTCAGAAATGTACAGGCATCCTCTCAGCACAACCTCGTTATTCCAGCAGTCATTTTAAAGGATTAACATTGGTGAATGGAAGAACTACCCTTAAAATAGCTAGAGTACTTCTAAGTCAGGGAAAAGACAAGTAATTTAATATATGTGTAAACCCTAAACTGAATTAGCAGAAGTTTTGTGTTAGAATGGAGAAACTAAAAATGATTCACCAGTTCTATTTGTAATATTTAATAAAGTGGGTATTTACACAGAGTGTATATATATTTCTAGTTTGTTAAAACCTCAACACAGCATTATAGCTTTTTATTTGACCATTATTCTAAAGGTGGCTTCTATAAAAATAGTACACTGTGTAGACTTTTGCTTCAGATGTAATAATTTGAAGAAAAAAATTACCTGGCTCAGAATTTCACTTGAATGAAAAAGGCAACTTTCAAAATCATGTTCTAAAATAAAAAATAGCATTGTAAAATTTATAGTTTCTCTTATTACTCATATAAAATAGAATTTTTCTCCTCTAAAGTTAAAGTTTTCTCACAGTGTTTTTTAAAAGTCACATAAATGTGGTTTCTTCTCTCTCTTTCTTTCTTCCTTTCATATCATACAGCTCAAAGTATCAATATGCTCCCTAAAATGATATGCAGTTTTTCTGATCTTTCTGGGAAGCATAAATAAATTTTGCAGAAACAAGGCTAGTTGCCCACAGTATTGTTCCCATTGTGAGTTGTGTTTGCTCATGGAACTGTCCATATGGCAGCAAATGTGCACCTGCAAGTTGTTGGAGCTAGTGTAAAGCTCTTTTGAACTTCTAGTTGGAACTATCTAGTTGAAGTTGAACTGTATTTCAAGAAACACTGGAATTCTGTTTTTCCATCCTACAAAGTGCATCTTTCATTACCTCAGACATGAAAATTTATATATTAAATACTTGGAATATTTTAAACACATGAATTTCGTCTTGTGAACCTTCACACAAGTGGTATAAGTAGCTAATCTATTTTTTTTAATTCACCCAATATTAAAAATCTAGAAGTGAGATGCTTAGTTGAAACTAGTTCTCCAGGCTTCCTTGGCAATATAGAGAGATGAACATTCCAGGTTTGATTCATTTCACCTGTCATGGGCATGAATTCTAGGCAGGACTCATGTTTTAATTAACCGATTTGTCTCACTACATTGACTGTAGAAGGAACTGCTAGTGGAAGCTTACATCAGACACCAAATTTCAGGTTATGAGTTTAGTGGCGAGTCATCTAAGTCATCAGGAAACTCTGATCTCTGAATGTATGTCCATGGGCAGAAGGCCTGTGCATGGCTTCATTACTCTGTCTGGAACCTGAGTAACAGCATCTTAACCCAAGTGAAGCAAATAAGCACCTTGTTGGAGAATTCCACTGGGGAAGAAGGTTAAGGGACCGAGGAACTGCCATACAAATGCTCTAAGATTTTAGTTTTTGTGAAAGGGCTGTGTCTGTGTTAGATCCTTGACTATGACCATCCAACTCTAGTCGCATTGAAGAGAGAAGATGCTGAGTAGATGGGGCACAACCACTGCCATTGTAATGTTAATGGTTGTAATTAGGTAACATTTGGATAGGAGACGGATTTTTTTTCCATAGGATCAAACCCTCAGCCAAGCTAAAGCCTTCCTTGCCACTTACCTACACTAATTTACAGTAGGTCAGGATCTGGCACACATTTTTCCAGTACTGGTCTTCCCACATTATATAACAGCCTTCTCTTTAGAAGAGATACAATTCAGCCGTGTAATGCAAGACATACATGTGGTAATAAAAAAGCGTCGGTTAATACCACATGCTCCTTGTCTATTGCAAAAATTTGGCAGTCTTAAAGCAAAGGATGATGTTCATTCTTCTTAATTAGAGAGGGAAGTCAGGAGAAAAAAAAATATAAAAATATGCTTCACTTTATGCATGAGAAATATTATTCAAAAGGCCATCTAGGATATTCCTATCACCCTTGCTTTGCTTTGGAATACAGGATTATCATTAAAATAAGATGTTTGGTTCCTTCATCTTACACCATCTTATACTACTTAAAATGTATATAAAAAAAATCCTAGATCCTGAAAATCCGACTCATACCCAACATCTTATATGTTTCTGATCTTTCGTTCATGTTTTATGAACATAACTATAAAAATATTTTTTAGTTATTTTTAGGTCTGTGAGAGACTGGGTTTCAAAATATTGATAGCTTATTTTAGGCTTCAAGAAAAGGTATCTGAATATTTGAACTGTTTTAAAAGACTTTCAATGATAGGTTTAAATATATCCATATACCCATATATATTTTTTTAATATAACCATATATATGTATATGTATGTATGGTTTCATAGAAGTAATAATGGCTTAAGCTTGTTTGGCAATGACTGCTCTTTCTTTCAATCTAACCTCTGAATTCCTGGGGGTAAGTGAAGACAGAATATATGGCCCTAAAAAATATTTGCAACATCAATGAAAAAAAGAAATCAAACATAATAGGCTATTTCTAATGTGATAATCTGGGAGAGCACATAGCACACTGTGGTCATTTTACTCTAATATGTACCAGTCCTTCTGACTTCTTTCTTCATTTCCCTTTTGAATTTTTAAGCATTGTATTGCTGCTAAATGTAGCAACAATTGCTTTTTTTAATGCTTATTATATATACAAGGCCAACTTCCTCCCACTAAGCCTGTGTAGTTAGCAGAGACGGATGGCACTTGTGGTAGGCACCATCTATCACCGAGGAGATGGAGAGGAACACTTCCAAAGGGTGATTCAGGTCATCTAATGTTTCATCTCTGGAGATGCCTGACAGTTTGATCTTAGTATTAACAGGAAAGTAGACTGGGGTCACTTCCAGCTTAATTCCTCTCAATTAAATATAAGCAGGGATAACACGGACTCCAACCTAAGTGCAATATTCTAGTGAGTTTACATGCAGTAAGCAAACTTTGATGTGAAAATATAGTACTGATAGCACAGGATTAGTTGAATAATGGTGAGCCGGGAGTTGTTTTGTCTAATTTCATCCATCTAGGAGTTTAGCGTCTAATCTAGGGCAATAATCTAAATTTCCCTTATAGGTGCTAGAGACTGCTTCTCTAACAGATAATTAAAATTCTAGGATGGATTAATCACTCACAGGATGATGGGCCTAGCCTAAATGTATTTAGAACATGATTTATTAAGCCATGACATATAAATTAGTATTTCTGTAAGTTACAATTTTCATAGCATTATTATACAAAAAATCCAGAATATTATGGTTCTACTCAGAGGGTTAACAGAAAAGCACTAGGCATGCTGATTACATTGGTGTATCCAAACTGCTTTGCTTTTTTAGCCAGTGTTTGCTGATTTTTTCAGAAAATTCTTGAAAAATTTCAAGTTTGAAATTATTTAAGTGTTGTTGTTTAAGGAATTTCTATAACCAAATTAATCTTATTTTTAGCTCAACTTATCACAGGAATATGTATCATTGATGCAGTGTAAGTCTGTAGTTATCAATTTTATTAATTCCACAAGTGATTCCAGAAATCTCTCTTTTTTTAAGTACTTACTATAGAGCTTACAATGGTGGCATAGGTGACTGAGACTGTCTTTCTTATTGGTAAACAAACAATATTGTAATTTCAAGAAAGTCCTAAGAATCAGCTTTTCAGTTAGGTAGTGTACTAGTTAGGGGAAAGCTATCTCATTACATGCATTGTGTAAATCATCTTTGTAGATGAAGATTGTTCATATTAATGAACACATTCTTTTTCCTTGACATTGTAGCAGAAACTGTTTACTTGTTTAAGAACAACCAATACATTAATTTGCTTCAGACTGTTAGAGGGGAAAGTGAGATTCCAGTCATTGACAATGTTACTGCATTACAGTAGCCCTCATCTAATTTAAATGTGGTACATACTACAATAAGGAAAGCCAAACCTGTGAATAAACTCCTGAAAAAGCCTGGTGGGTCTTTATTCAGTTGGGTGCTCGCATACAGTAGCATATGACAGAAGGAAGGCTTTCAAGAATTGTTGAAATGAAAGCGATATATCCACAAATAAGAGCTAAATTGCAATCCTTTCCCTATGGGGCATATATGCTTGAAAAGAAAAAAAATAAAGAAAAGAAGAGAAAAATTGGCTCTGAGGTTTGCAGTGCTACTATATTACCACAGGGCAAGTACATTAAATCATTGTTATTTACTAGCCTGGGGTATGTGTTAGAAAATGGCATCTTTTTTATTTAGTTTAGATTGTGGGCAGGAAGAGCTTTCCTAATATTATTGCAGTGCTTGCTAGTGCTGCCATGGTTAAGGCTGTGTTAGTATTTCCATTATAAACTCTTAGTCTCAAAGGTTTTTAATTTGATTGTAAAAATTTGCTTCAGGCAGAAACTTGGCATACAATTTTTCAGCTCAGAGTGATTCTTTTCCTAAAATATGAGAGAAATCAACTTGACCGCTTCAACATTTATTTTCTGATTGTACACAAACATTCACAGACACAAAGGTGGTTTTTATGCAGCTCATTTCAGATGAGTTACATTTTCAAGCATATCTTGCAGGTTTTAACTACAAAGGTGACAGCTCAGAACTTTTGGGCATTTTGAAAATGAGGGAGAAAACTCAGTGATCAAGAGCAAAAATGTTCCACATGTGGGAGAGTTTTATTTTGACGTGACAAGCATTTTAAGTTTGCACAGTAATGGGTATGTATACACCCTACTGAGTGCTTATGTAATTCCTAAACCCATTAGTTTAACTCATTCCACGTAGAAAATGCTAAATGTGAATATGCTGAATTTCCCTATAAGACTGAGTAAAGAAGCAGTTTTGTTCTGTGTTTTATAGTAACACCATAGACAAAGCTGACAAGACACCAGTGAAAAGGGTCCACAAAGAGACGAATCAAAGGAACATGTTTTCTCTTAAGGGAAAAAAATTGTCTGAACAAGACAGAGTTGAAAGCTCACACTGAACAAGAGGGGTTTTAAAAGCAATTTAAAAAGCATAAGTATGGAATCATTTGAAAACTATAAAAGTGCAAGGGAGCCACACAGTGTAGTGAATTCATGCACGGAGCTAATCACATACTAAGCTGGAGCAAATTTACAGCTACAAACAGGCATAATTAATACACAAATCAAACACACACAGAGGCAGATGGAATTGAAATGCCATTTCTTTTAGCAAACATAATGCAGACCTCTTCCTCATATATTCACTAAATGAGACCGTGTGTAGCTATTTGAAGTAGTGTTGCATACAAGCTAGTGGGGAAATTAGGTGTTTAAAAAATGGCTGCAAATTAATTGTTTTTAGTAGCAATTCTGCAGCATGCTTCTACCTCAGTGGGTCCTTTGGGAAATGACAGCTTTCAAAAAGTGATGTCTATGCATTTTATACTTGTCTGCATATATACTTGGATAGCCCATGCCAAATGGCTTCAGTAAGAATTGAGTTGCTATATTGAGGCTTCATGTTGTCTGCAGTTTTTTGTAGCAGAGGACAGAGGAAGGGACAAAGTATCCGTGAAATAAAGAATTTGTGGATTGACCCACCTGTAATGGAGATGTCTTCCTAATCCTTTTTAGTGATTGACTTGAGTGATAAACCACAGCACTCAGTCATGTCCATAAGTATTCTCTGTACCTAAGTGGGGGGAGGGGGGCACCAGATAGAGTTGTGTCATTTTCTAGGCACCCACTTACAGTGCTGCACATTTTGTCAAGCCATGTGTAAATATCAGATGGGGAATATAACTGTTTACACCAAATGATAGAGTTAGAAAAAACATATAGGAAGTGATTAGAGTGATTAGCCATGGCAAATGTAGACTGACCTTTGGAAGATGGTTTCCTACCAACTGTCAGACAGATTTTTGAGAGTTTTTCCAATAGAACCATTGGAACCAAGAAACTCCAATTGATTTTTAGGTGCAACTTGATCTGTTAATGAGAAACTTTCCTCTTGAGGTGTTTCTGATACATCCTCATATGTGTGTCCTTTTGTAGGAAGATTCTGGACTCAGAAAGCCAAAAGATACCTTTATTTCTATGTATCTAACAGATTTTAAACAGATTCTGTATCTAAACAGATTCAAACACATCTAATTTTAGGTGTCTGGAGAAAAAACCCACAGTGATGAAAAAGAAGCTTGGCTTACTTGTCTAGAGTTACTCTCAGGAAGAGCTGACATTACTACTATGACTATTACTGCTGCTGCTATTACTGCTATTTCCATTACCACTACCACCATTGCTGTTCAGAGGCAATTATTTTTTTGACCTGCGCTTCTCCATTAGGTGCCTGGAAAGCTTCAAACTTGCTAATAAGACCAAAAGGGTCTGATATAAATAAAAGCACCTATAAATTTATTTTCTTTTCAAACAGAATGCCCACAGCTATTGAATCTGGGGCCCATCATATTGTGAGAGTTTGAGAATTGGAAAGAAAGATATTGGTAAATTGAAAAAGAGGATTATTTGTAAGGTATAAATACAATGTCCAAGGGAATTCCTGGTGCTGTATCATGCAAAGGAGAGTGATATACTTTTTTTCCTCTTCTGAAAATCCAAGCATGTAGGAAAAGGCAAATAAACCTTTAAAAGATGAACTTCTGGCAATTTGGTGTTTATTGTTAATCTTAACTAGGTGTAGTCTTTGTGAAATTGCTTCACTGTAGAGTTAGAATTTAAGGTAGGTAACATCAGATCTCGACAACTTTTGCCATTGATAGTTAAGGGGAGGGAGGAATCAAATTGACTGACTGATACTAAAACAAGAAGCACTTCAGGAGAGGCATTTCCAGAGAGAGTTGATGTGAAAAAGAAGGGAGGAGGATGATTGTGGAGTAATGCTAAGAGGCCAATTTATCACTTGCCATTTGTGCTGATCTTTGGTGTCTTATCTGAGGGGGAAAAAAAATAACTGGTCCAAGGTTAACCTATTTTTAATTTTATTAAGGAATTAGTAATAAGCGTTTATATTCTGCCTGAAAGGAAATTGTTGAAGGATTACTTCAGTGTGAAATTAAATAGCACTTTTCTCATGCATTCTAAAAAAACCATCTAAGGAAGTAGTGGCCTTTAAACAAATTTCTAAATTATTTCAATTTAGAAAAGTTTCATTTCATTTGAAAAGTTAGGAACTGCTATGTGGTTTTTATGGCATAGATGAATCTCTAATTTTCAAGGTACTAATTAAATTATTTCTATATGGTACATATTCATGCAAAAATAAGGAGGGAAGACAAATGGGATTTTTCAAAATGCGAAGGAACAGAAATGAGATCTGATATTATTATCTTAATTTTTGAGCTAAGTTTTTAAGTTACTGCTTACTTTTATGTAAAATATTTGCTCTAAGTAGGTAATAGAAGAGTAGAAAAGGAAAAATCACTTAATACTTCAGCTCTAGTCTCAACTTCTAATAACTTCATGATTCTTGAACAGCGAATCATTACAATATATTTCAATTCAGTCATCACAAGCAAGCCACCAAGGAATTAGATCCAACTGCATTCCTGAGAAGCTGTGCACAGGCTTGAAAAATTAGTCATGCAGCCACATCGTAGCTTTCCCACATAAGCCTCTGCACCAAAGTGAGTCTCAATGAGTATGGTTATAAAAAAAGGAAGTCACTATTCAGAAAATTCTCACTTCATGTGTTAATTTTCCATCACAGGAGGTGGATTTGGATAGGTGTATGGAAATAAAATATAGTTGTGGACTGAGAGGCTTTGTATCTAGTGCCCTGCAACATTATATGTATGAATTCTCATGAGAAATGTGAATACTATTTTACAGTGCAAGCCTGCTAAATCCCACTAATGACTGGAAGTTTCATTGTAAATGGCTGGATTTTGGGAATTAGCAGATGAATGGAGAAATACAATAAAGGGCCAGAGGATAATACATTGTATAGTGTACGTTTTCATTTGTTCTGACGATTTAGTTTTAATTTTGAACTTCATACATTATCAGCAAGCGTGCTGGAGTATAAAAGCTACAAGTAAGGAGTCCAAGTAATATGAGATCCCACTGGGGCTCTATGATTATTTTTGCTGAAAGGCAGGAAAAGTGCCATTTTATTTATTTGTGACACAAGATGAATGTTCCCAGAGAAATCACAGAATCAAAGAATATTCTGAGTTGAAAGGGACCCACAAGGATCATCAAGTCCAACTCTTAAGCAAATGGTCCATGTTGATAAAAGTACGTATTTTATCCTACTCTCATTTACAAGTTAATAGTTTCTATTTAACCACTGATTCATGGAATGCTTCTTGATGCAGGAGATAGCTGCAGAACTAAAGAGTCTGTCAGAAGATGTCTGTCTAGAATATTTTTTTTCCCCACAGGGATTATAAGCTGACAACAAGGTTATAGGCATGTACTCTCCCTCTTGGACATAGTCTTCCTGAAAAGTTTGTCTTCCATCTTATTGGCAGCACAAGTTTTTGGCATGCTGAAATGAAGGGTAGTGATTTGTGAACACCATAATCCTTCAAGAACCTTCACTATCAACCCCTTTATCCTCTGCTCTCTTCCAGACACCTACAGCCCCTCCAGGCCATTTGTTTCTTTCTCCTTCCTTCAATCTAATTCTCTCGTGTGGTGCAAATATTGTACATCCATGTGTAAAACAGAGCAGAGAAACTGCTCCAGGGAAATAAAAAAGCTTTACCCTGCGTTAATTACCTGATTCTATTCATTGCTCCCATACATCAGCATGTAAAGAAAAAGGGTATATAAAAAAGTAATTGTTGCAGTGGGAAGACAGGACTACTTTCAACAGAAGCAATGACTTAAATTGTTCATGAAAGTAAGGGGTAGGGCCTCAAAACTGTGTGTTGTGTTTGTCAGGATCAAGTTCTACACTGTTGTTCTTTATATCTGGATCTTTCAAAGAATTTTTATTTTTAATAAACTGAAAGAGTAGGAGGATGTGAAGAAATATTGTGGTTACAAAAGAAGAAAGACTTGGAGGAAGTTGGGGCACAATAATTTATGTTTAAACATTGCATACACTCAGTAAAACTGGGAATATGTGGAAAGGAGGCATCATGTGTTGTCTCCAAATGACCTCTGTGCTTTAGGTTTTTCCAATGCTTTCTAAAGGACAATGCAGAGGCTCTATCTTGCAGTCACTTGCTCCTGGATGATAGATGACATAGAGTTTTATTATTTGTTGCCACTTAACCTTCAATATGGGAAAAGGCAGTTTCTGAAAACCTTAAGCCTAGATGCTGCCCTGGTTGTAGGTTCTTGCTGTGCCCCAGAGCTGCGCTGCCTGGGCCATGTTTTCCACTTGTCCTTGTGGAGGTAGAAAGCTAAACCCTGGCTTATTGTGTGCCAGCTTTTGCACTGCTGGTCTCTGCCAGAAAACGCCAACAGCCATGGGGCTCCTCTGCACTGTACAGTCAGCAAAAGCTTCTGCTGATGCCTGAAATACCATTTAGTCTGGATAAATGAAAGTCAGTGAAATCCTCTTTTTGAATGATACTTGAATCCATGATAATATTAAAAGACACGCTTCTGCAAAGGGACTAAAGAATGTAGCTATTGGTGCTGGTTTGTTGCCTCTGCACTGGCTGTGAGCATATGCCAGACAGTAAATAGGGCAGCAGACATCAGGCAGCAAACGGAAACCCTGTGGGCAGCTTGCAAATCAGTAGTACATAGTCATAACCAAGTCTTCCCTGGAAAGCAGTTGGGTTGGGGTTTTGCTTTCATTTTTCTAAGCAGGAAACATGTTCAAAACTCCAACTTGCCCTCTGTTACTTGTTTCAGTTATGTTCAGGGAAATGGGACTTTGGAAATGTGAAAAAAAAAAGAAAAGATTAGTAGCATTACATCAAAGAACTATCCAAGTCTTATCGTGATTCTTCTGTTTGGGCAACAGACTGATAAGGAAGATAGGATCTAGATTATGTCCAGCTGCTCATTCTGAACTGCAGACAGATTGCACTTCAGGCAGAGAAATCACTTGAACAGAAATCTTGGTAATTCACTATTTGTTTTCCTTTATGTAACATAGAATTTGGTACTGTTATTTAAGTGCCACTGCCATGTAAACATACCATAATGCTTCAGGATACTCCCCAGATCGTTATCCTTTTATACAAGCTCTAGATAGGAGAAACAAAATACACAGGTAACAAATTTAGTAAATGACATTACAACTAGAAAGTTCAACTTCTAGTACTGAGACAGTTGTCTGTTATGAGAGTTTGCTGGATTTTTGATAAAAAACATGCATATGCATGTATTTGAGCAGATACTGAAGTCCGAAGTATAGCAAGTTTAATTATACAATACAGTGAAAAAAGGACATATCTGGTCCAAGGCTTCTCAAATTGCCTGCATTGAAGGAAATCTTTTCTGTTACACGCCTGAAAAGATAAATTCACTGACCCTGAAAATATATCGCTTTTTATTCTTGGCCACATCCATAATCCTTCTTTCTTAATAGCTGAAAAGAAAATCATAATTAATATGCCACTAGAGAATTTTCATTATTTCTTCAGAATTACCTCTTAATTTACTAGATTAGCCTGATCAAGTAATGAATTTGTCAGTTTCAGTTTTTCCTTATGAATATGAAATATCTCATTTTTGACCAGGCAATGCTAAATTAAACTGCAACTGAGGAAGGCATTTTGGCCTAGATTCCTTTTGTTACAAATTTGTTCAAACTATTTTCTTAATGCACACTTAATTACTGAAGGCTGCAGAGCCCCACAGGCCCTCTCCACCTGCTGACTTTGCAGCCACAGAGCTGGAAGCAAAGCACAGTGGCCCACCAAGTGGTTCCCCCTGCATTGATAACCACAACACAAAGAGAGGAAGTGTGTTGTAGACAACAATCCTGCTGCTATAGCACAGAAATTTGGTTGTTTACTGAAATGATGGGTTAAAGTGTCACTAGAGATGTGCAGTCACATTCCTGCAGTAGTGGTCCCTTCAATTTACCAAAGGAGGAGAAAATCCTGATTTTTTTTCCCGCATATAGATCCAGTTTCCTATGCATCAGTGAAGAACACTATCCTCCCTCACTTGTGTGTGACAGAAAAGTTTTTTGGTTTTCTGTATTCATTTTTTGAGAACTGTGTTGGTGTTTTTGTTGTTGCTAAGAAAACACCTGTAGATAATTAATTATAGTATTTTCTTCTAATTCATCTGTAGCAAATGAGAAAGTGTCATACATTTCTCTTTTCATGTCAGAACAAATTGATCACTGTTCTCTGCAGTATTTCCCATGTAACCCAAATGAATCCGTTAAGTAGCAGACTTACTGACTGCATGAATGAGCATGCTCAGTAGCCTAATTTGAGTAAAATATGCAGTGGTTGCCCTTAAAATGTCAACCTTTACCCTTTATAGTAGCTATACTTGGAAGGGAAACTTGTAGGTTCCTGCTTGGACTCAAGGTTGACGGTACCATAACTCCCATAGGCTGAAATTTTCTGAGGCCACTGGAAAGGTTTAATGACATTGTATTCCCCGTATAGGAATGCAGACTGGCAGGAAGTGGCTTGTGCTGCCCTGAGGCTGCTAATAAAATCCTGAAAGAAGAACTCAGTCAATCTTTGGAGCTTGAGTGGGATGGAGACTGATATATATATATATATATATATGTATATATATATATTTGAGATAGATGGAAAAATCCAAACCACAAATAACCATGTGGCAGTGAAATTCCTGGAGACCAGCAGTTCGCAAATCAAGAGAACATATCCAGTGAAGAGTGCTGAGCTGAAGAGGAGAGCAAAAAACCTGACACACTGTGAACAAAGAAAGAGTTTCCTGACTCCAGGATTTCCGTGACTCATGGTCTAAATGGTTTGGCATGGCAGGAATCAGTGAGGGCCAGCCAGCTGCTCTGGCTGCAGAACATTTCACACTGCATGAGCGTGTAAATGATGTAGTGACAGCGAAATGCAATTCTATACTTAGGAGAGGAGCGGTCAGCTGGCTCGCACAGACCATGCCAGCATAGGGGCTGTCCCAGCTCCCCATTTTGAAGAACTAGACTTTCTGTTTTCTACCTGATTCCCAAACCTGTGGATTTTTCTTTCAGGCCAAATGAATAGGCTGCTTATGCTTTGACCTCTTGTCTGCAGGTCTGATGCTGTGTTGAACTACAGGGTTATGCTCTGCATGGGGAAACTTCACAGCAGGCTGGCATGGTGGAAGCCGTGAGACACATCAAATGAGTGAAGAGTTTTAGAAGTAAAACTCTAACAAACTCTGGTGAGCATGTGCAGCTATTAGTATCCAGAAACTATTCAACTTGCCCAAATCACGGGAGCAACATGTGGCATCTCTCTGACACCAGCATTGGATTGGTGGACAATTTTAAATCTTTGAAGCAGAACACAGATTTACTACATGTCTTCAAAGAAAAAAGCAGGAAAATGAGATGTCAGTTTGAGTAACCAAAGTTTATGAAATGGACAAGATCTGGTTTATTTGTTAATTTTTATTTTGTGTGAGTTGTTCTTTAGAGAAGCAGTGATCTGTGAGTGGCAGCCAGCTCCTCCTGGAGGCTTGTGCGCTGAGCTGTAGTACACCTAGAAACAAGGAATCTGCTGAAACAGCAAGGAGCAGACATGACCTGAGCTCGAGGATGATGGAAAGACCATCTGGAGGAATGAAGAGGGCTGTGTAGAGTTTGCTACAATCAAAAATCAGTGGAATTGGCTGAAGTGGAAACTGAGAGAAAGGACATGTCTGCAAGGATGCAGTTGGCAGGAGGAGATGCATTAGTAAATCCTTTTTATTTCTATTCTCTCTGGCATAAGCACTGAGCTTAAAATAAGATGTCTGGCCCATATCTGTGAAGTTCAAGGACTCCTTCTGGGACCTTTTTCCTAAAAAGAATAAATTTTGTTGGGGTTAGCTCAGCACT